GTTGGTCAGGATAAATGGCTAGGGATGGCGCAAGGTTTTCTTACCCTTGTATGCATTTTCAGGAAGTACATAGTCATAAGCACTTATGGCAGTGCAAGCAGCCGTTGGAGGGTTTCCAACACTTTGGAAAGCTTTGTTTCTCGTCCAGACGGAGTTATTATTGGCTTTCCAGTGTGGATCAACAGCAGGCAAGTGTCTTTTATGGTAAGACATTTGATACATAATGATCTATATGAGTATAATACTCAGATCAATAGATACGAAAATAATGCTGTGCTGTTGGGGTCAGTTAGTTATCCCATGTATTGCTTCCATCCAACGTTAGCTAGTGTACATAGGAGTCCCCCCAATAATATAGAGGCTGATGATCAGGCGCATATTGATGCAAATTTGGACAACATCAGAAGATTTATCATCGAAGGTACCAGCTAGTTTCAGTTCAATTTTGTATTTTAGTTCTTGTGATGTCCTAAATGAGACTTAAGGTCAGATATTGTGTGCCTTCTTTGTTTGACGTTTTCTAATTTCTAGGTCTGGTTTTTTACTTGAAACAAGTCTAGATCATTTCTAATTCTTCCCAATTTTTTTTTTTTGTGTAACTTTGTCCAGGTATTTCTATCCCTGAAGAAACTTCATCAGGAGAATCATCATCATCAGAAGAGGAAGAAGAAGAAGGAGGAGGAGGAGCAGAAGCAGGAGCAGCAGAAGAAATATTGTAATAAATGTGGCTTTCTGCCCTTCACTATCTTCAAACATGACTCAATTTGTTATTTCTGGGAGACTAAGGAGATTGAGGGCATTGGTAATATTGTAATAGACGTGGTTTCCTATATGCATTTTGAATTAAAACTTCTTTTTTTGCACATTTCAAGTGAAGAATTCCAGATTTTAGCATCATCAGGGGAAGATGTTTGGCGAATCTTCCATTCAAAATTTGCTTGGTCAATCAAGCATCTTAATATGTGCTGTTTTTGTTTTATTTTGGAAAATGTCAACAAGCTAAAGACGATACTTCTCGTAAATGTTATAGCTATATTTGTCTGGGAATATAATACGTGGATGATGCATTATGTGGAAAGCTACATGCCATTGCAATGTGTAATCAAAAGGAAAACTCAGATCCTCTTAAGTGAAACGATGAAACATTAAGATAATAAAATAATATCAATATTTGTTTCCTTTCACTAGCAGTACACATTGAATGGCTATATTCAGCTGAAACATACACAAATAATATACTAGCAAAGAGTTTCTGCATCCACTTATATATATTGAGAATTAAGAAAACTAAACAACAATCATTTAGCGAAAGAATTAGGAATAATTAACGCATCAAATATTTTGATGCATACTACTATATATCTAGTAGATCAAGTGATAACTGATGCCACCAATAATCATTAGTACTGTCCAATTCATTCTGCTGGTTACATCCTCTCAAATCATATTCCCCATTGAAAGTTGTTGTATCCTCAATCTTATCAACTTGTTCATGATCACATACCTCATTGTTGCCGGTATACCGTATATATATATATATCCAATATCAGGTCCAAACAGCATAGCGTCAATATTTCCAGCAACATCTTGATCCTCTACTGACGATCATGATCCTTAGCTTCACCTTTTTATGGCGTGAAATCCAACTGAGAACCAATACTTTCAGCTCTAATTTATGCTTCTGTAAACACTCAAAAAGTGACGGTAGTGTTCTAGCTTTTCATACAACGAAAGAAGAGACTATATTAATTGAACGTCCTGAGTTTATTGATCATGGTGTGCCATCAGTACTATCCATATATCGAGCATTCAATATTTTACCATGGAAGCAAACACAATGATCGATAAACTCAAAACAGTCAGTTAATTAGTATATCATCTACTCTCTTTGTATTAAAAGCTAGAACACTATTGTCACTTATGAGACAAAATACAGAAAATTACACCAATAAACAGATGGGCTACCAAAGACCAAAGAGCTGAAAGTATCGCCTCTCAGTTGGATTTCATGTCATAACTAAGATGGCTCTAATGAAAGTATATGTTAAATTTGCAGAACAGGTTGGAATTTTCAGCCAACATATTGATGGTAACGATTTGTATTGATTTGAATTCGGGAAATCAACAGTTAAACCTATAGCACCAAATTTATTTGTCGACAACAAAATATGGGAAAGTTTAGGATTAGATATTCTACCTTCAAAATTCTTGCTTAGAACTTTACATTGAAATGCAACTTCAAGAGCAAGTGGAATCGATGATCTCTATAACTATATAAAGTAGTTCACAGAAGAGAGAAGAGATGATTTTATTAATAACGAATATGATATTTATACAAGAGGTTGGATGCATAAGGATGAGGGAAAAAAATACAATCAATTAAAATAAATGACAATCTTACAAATAGGAATAAGGATCATGAAAGAATTCAATACAATCAATCAAACTAAATGAAAATCTTTATCGTTATGAACAAGGATCATGAATGATATACAATCAATCAAAATAAATGACAATATTTACGGTATTCATTGGATATATCTTTTTTATCGTGCCTAAATTATATTTCCATTCAAATAATCTTTTCAACCTTAGATTGTTAGGTGCTACACTTTATTATTCGTAGAAATTAATTAAAGTGATAGCTTTGCCCTTCGATCAAATACTACTACTACTATATAATTATTTTTGGTATACAAATATAAAATTGGCATTCTAATCATATCATATATCATATATTATTATAAATGGGAAGAATGTTAGGCAAACGTTGAATTACCATTGTGCCCCTACATTAAATTAAAATGTTATAAACTATTTAATAAATTAAATACTAATTAGTAAATCATCATATTACTACATGAATAATTTATTAATACCTTTTACTAATTAACTTTTAAAATCAAATCAATAATAACAATTAAGCTAGACCAAATACATGATTAGATGTTACAACTAATTATTTTTCACTTTTCTTCCCACTTTATAATGAGTTTAAATTAGTAATTCTTTTAGATTTAAAGCCTCTTAAAATTTATATATCTGTATAAATCTTCATATTGAGAAGACTCACAAATTTTATCAGTTTCAAGAAGAAAGTCCAAAAGTCTCTTATCCCAAAATTAATAAGAAGAAGGAACCTGTTGGCTCAACCAATGCATTTGTCACTTTTTGGGGACTTTTGTGGTGGTAACATGGTTGAAAGGTAAATTTTTATTTTTGTTTAGATTTATTTAATATCTCAAATAATCACAAGTTCTGTTCAACAAGAAAAAACTGTTTAGGCTCCAGTAGCCAATAATACGTTTACATTACTCTATTTGGTCGTTAAATTACTGTGCAACATTGCAGAAGTTAAGCTTTTTTGGATTTATTTTGGATATGCTCTTCTCTATTTGGTGTCTTTAGCACAAATATTTTTATGGTTGTTTTCGTAATAAACCTTAATGTGATTGTAGTTAAAACGTTGTGCAGAGATGCAGCGCTCCTGGAAATGTATAATCTTGCCAGACATTTCATCTAAATTATTATGTACTATTAAGTGATTAATTATTATACTGCACAGTATTAAAAAAAATCTACTCGGCTTTATTTCATTATTTTGGGTTTGTAAGGTTGTGAATAATCCCTTTCACTTGTGTTTAAGTCAAATAATATATAACAAATAATAATTTCACTTTCAATAGAATTTTACCCATTAATCAATTATAATTATTTGAGGATGCAATTTTGGTACATGTGTAGAAGACTTGAAGGTTATGTTTTTTGAAATCTTTTTTTTTTGGTTCTTTATGTTTTTATAATTTCTTTGGCTAGAAAATACATGGCTTTTCCTTTCAGTTTCCAATACATTCTTTAAATTAACTTCTTATATTCTTCTATTCTTCATCTATTAGGAAAAAATTATTAACAATTTTTTTTGTTCCAATATGTCAACACAACCATATCCAACTACAAAATGAGGTATTTATCTTTTGCTCTTTATATTTTTGCATGAATTCACAGCTTTTGATGTATACGATTTCTCTTTTTATAAATTGGGCATAAAAGGCTAGTTCATTGCACTTTTGTGTTTTATCATCATATAGTTTTAATGTCATTTTTTATTTATTAGTTATCTTTCTTATTTGGTTAATATATTACTTTCTTTAACTTTTTTTTCATTTTGTTCATATGAGTCATTTATATTTTATTGCTTTTTTACATTAATTGAGTTGATGTTACAAATGTTTCAATACATGATATAGACTTATATAATTTTTATACAGTAATAGAGGTCAAACGTGCAACGCATGTTCCTTGAACTAGTTAATAATAAAAAGAAAAAACATTTCGTATTAATTACTTCATCCGTCCATCTTTACTTGTCAAGTATACTAAAAATAATTGTCAACTTTACTTGTCTAGTTTGGAAAGTAATAATTTATCATTTTGTGTTTATTTTATCCTTGTTATTAAATATTATTCATTTTTTAATATTTAGATGACTTATAATATATACTAAAATTATCTTTCTATTATGATTATTTTTTAAAAGGTGTTCCAAGTCAATTTGGACAAGTAAAGTTAGATGGAGAGAGACAGAGAGTATAGTAACCGTTAATTATTATGACAATAATAATAATGCTGAATCTCTTCAAATGCACATTAATGGAAAATTTGGTAAGTTATCAAACAATGGAAAAATCTTTTCACCTTCTTCCATATATCACGGTGCGATGCGTCTAAATAAAATAAGTGATAATCAAAGAATGAAGAGACACATCGTTTCATTTTTTTTTAAAAATAATTATTATTTAAATAGAAGAAATATATTCTCAATAAAAATTAACATTAATGTAGCGATTGGATTCAAATAAAACGGGTGGTTTCCAAAAGGACACTTCCTATCATTTAAAAAGACCTCTCTTCCTTCCTCTTCCTTTAAATAGAACTCTTTCTTTAAACAAAATTCCAAAAATAACAAACGATAAGAGAACAGAGGAAAATAACTATATAGTATGGAATTGCAGGATGATATACTTCTTGGGAAGGTTATCCCCAGTTTGCCTTTGAAGTTTGTTGTTCAATGTAAACTTCTATCCAAGTATCTTAAACGTATGATTTCTCATCCTGATTTTGCCCGAACTTTGTACCAAAGTCATAAAGAAACTTCTACACAACTCATCTATTCAATTAATGGCATTGCAAACAGAACATTCTACAAAATCTCCGTAAACCCAACAGTCACTCTCACTCGATCCGTGTTGACTTTACCCTATGAAGTTGAGATTTTTGCTTCGTGTAATGGTCTGATTCTCTTTCGCTTTGAACAATTTTCCCGTTACTGTGTTTTCAATCCCGTAACTGAAGACCACCAATTGATACCATATCCAGAGTCTGCAACTATGTTTGAAAGTAAAGGCTTAGCTGTTGATTACCCGGTTTCAGATCAATACAAAGTGGTAACCATCAGTCAGGGGCGGCTCAACGTAACTGGGGGGCCTAAAGCGAAATTTTCTTTGAGGCCTAAAAAATTTCATACATATTTATTTAAAAATTATTTTTCTAATTGTTTAGATGCACATTATTACTTCAACTTTTTAATAGATGATTTATTTGAGTACGTTTTTTTTTTTAAATAATTAATTTTAGGTAAGATTTTATCAATTCAATGCTGAAAAATATCCTTTTACTAAAGCAATCATTATATGAATTGTTAACATAATTCTCTAAGGAATAAGTTGACAAACTTTAAACAAAACAAGAGTTAGAACCATAAAATCTGATTCAAGACGTTGATAACTTGATATACCTAACTTTGATTGAAAATTTAAGTAAAAAAAAATTGCGATTTACTTTGTTCAACACTGTTCGACTAATGATTCAGATTTCTGATAGAGTATTACTTTAACTTATCAAAGATTTGAAGAAAAAGAGTGAAAAAAGAGTTTTAAAATAAATAAATAATGTGAATGTCAGAAATGTAATAAGACAAAACAACGTTTTCTTGATTTCTTCTATTTGAGTGGAGTTAAGGAGAATAAAATAATATATATATATATATATATATACTTTTTATTATAAATAATTATTATTTTTATAAAAATAAAAACACATAATTTGTTCTTGGTAAAAATTTGAGGCCTCCCAAAATTGGGGGCCTAAGGCATATGCCTTAATTTTTCTAAGCAAGAGCCGCCCCTGCCATCAGTAAGTTGGTTGAAAATTCCAACTTGTTCTACAAATTTCATGTACTTTCATCGGAGCAACCTGACTTGTGGCGTGAAATCCAATTGAGAACCAATACTTTCATATCTTTATCCTACGGTAGTCCATTTGTTTATTGGCGCAATTCTCTGTATTGGCTCAAACATGATGATAGTGTTCTAGCATTTGATACAAAGAGAGAAGAGGCTATACTCATTGACCGTCCTGAGTTTATTGATGATTTTGATCAGAGCTACGGTAAAATTTTGACTGGTCGTGTTGGAATGAATGCATCCACTTATGTAGATGGGACTAGGTCCTCGACACAGTTACAATGATAAACAATAAAGAACAAATACTGAAAGTAAAGATTGACAATCAACTTTACGTGGAAACCTCCTTGCTCAAGGGAGTAAAACCACGACCTGTTCTCAACAGGACTTTTCAAACTGCGTCCACTAATCTTCTCCAAGTAAAAGTAAAAGTCAGTTTACAAAATGAGATTAGCCTGCTAGTCTCTACACTAAGCAATACCCCCTATCACTTAGCTGAGCCAGAGCAGATACAACACTGCCCACTATACTAATCTTAACCGATTAATATAGACTTTAGAGTAAGAAACTAAGTTACCCTTAACCTAGTTCTTACAATGATTCACACAAGTTTAAAACGTTTCTTTCACAATTGAAATGAATCCTACAGTATAAGCACTATTACAAGCAAACAAAATTACAGCTGGTACAGAAAGCAATAGAAGCACTTCTATCAGGTCCCTTGCTGTTTTTGAAGCTTGAAAGTATCTCTCTTTGAATGAATGATGAATAATGTTGTTTATTGTTTGATATATACCATGAGGAGTTATTATCCAGCGTACAAACAACCTCGTCGCTTCTGATTGGTGAAGTACTCTGCAGCTTCACCAACTTTCTGACGCGGACAGCTTTACAGTTGTTCAACACTTTGACATTGGACGAGTATTCATACCCTGTAGAGGACCAGGTCCCTGTACTTGTGAGGAGATAATCAAAACATCTAGGAACATAAGCCCTTATCAGGTCGGATTATATGGCTAGGGATGGCGCTAGGTTCACTTACCCTTGTATGCATTTTCAGAAAGTACATAGTCATAAGCACTTATGACAGTTCAAGCAACCATTGGAGGGTGATACACTCAAATTACACCTCCCTAAAGAAGTATAAGCGATCGTTATCAAGTAAAGAACCCAATTTGTAGGTTGGGGTCGATCTCACGAGGAAAATGGTTTAGACTTTACTTTAACCAACAATTATATTCAATTAGCCAAAATACTTCCGAAAACAAGAAATAAAAAGGGGGGGGGGGGGGGATTTGTGAAACAAATTGTAAGAATTCAGTAAGTAATCAATAATCAAAAGTCAATTTCGGTTGTTATCAAGATGAGAAGATTAACTAGGGTAAACGTGTTCCCCACAAGCTCATAACTCAGTAATCCTAGTAATCGCAATCCTTTCCTAGTGTATTACATGCAAAGTGATACGTTAGGTATCTCTAAATCCTTGATCCGGCATCTAGAGAATTTCACCCCGCACCTTGATCCGACTACGTGTGTATAATTTACTAACCTTTACCTTTATCTCATATTAGACATCATAATCGATGTTTGGCTTAGTTATTACTTCGCACCAATCGACACTAGCCTATTAGATAGTATCACACTAAATCTATGTTGATAATTCTTTTCTTGTTGATTACCTCCTTGATCCGGCAAGTAGCAACAAGGCGAGTTCTAACGCGTGCACTCGTTAAAAAAACTTTTAAACGAATGAATTATCAATGCATGCAAAACACTATTTAAGAATTGCTTATTTACTATTCGTACTTTGTTAATCGCTCATGGTTCCCACAATCCTAGTTGTGGATTTAGTTACCCATACTAGCAAGAACACAATTCATAATATTAGATGATAAATCATGAACTTACGTAACGAGAATAATAAACCCAGAATTTCAACTTGAATTGCAAAGCCAAAATCTTCAAAACGAATGTAGGAAATCAATAATTGCTAGGGTTGCAACTTAATCTCCAAAGTCACAAGGTAAAAATAGAATAATAATGTCTAACCCCCAAAAATGAGTTTACATGTCCTATTTATAGAAAACAAATCCTAAATTAAAAGGGAAACAAATTAAGGAAAGTTTGTTCAGGTACGCGTCTTCAATCCACGAGATTGACTTACGGACCGTCGATGGATCTACGATCCGTAAGTCCCTTCCGTCAGCCAGGACTTAGAAAATATTTCTGCTTCCACAAAAATCAGCTTCTCTGAAGCAAACGACGAACTAACAGTACGGACCGTAGATCGATCTACGGTTCGTCAATCCCCTCCGTAGCTCAATACTTAGAATCTTCAAAAATCAGGTACTGGAACCCTCGCAGTATCATTCTACGGATCAACAGTACGGTCCGTAGATCAATCTACGGACCGTCAATGGACACCGTGGTTCCACACTTGGTCAGATTTCCCTGATTTGTCCTCAATCCCATGCCTGCTGATCTACGGTCATCACCTACGGACCGTGAATGGACCTACAGTCCGTAGATCACCTCCGTGAATGCCCTGTTTCTGCATTTCTTGCAGCTGTCTCTATACTTCCGCGCCTGAACACCTTTCCTGCAAAACATGATAAAAACACATAAAAACCAATATAAAAAGGCCCTAGACACACACAACTTGTAAGTGATGTATTAGAAATACCGTAAACTCACGGTATATCAGAGGGTTTCCCACACTTTGGACAACTTTGTTTCTCGTCCAAACGGCATTATTATTGGCTTTCCAGTGTGGATCGACAGAAAGCAAGTGTCTTTTATGGTAGAACATCCCCCGACATATCATGATCTATACGAGTATAATACTCAGATCAATAGGTACAAAAATAATGCTGTAATGTTGGGGACAGTTAATTATCCCATGTATTGCTTCCATCCAACGTTAGCTAGTGTACATAGGACTCCCCCCAATAACATAACCACTGCTCATCAGGCATATATAGCTGCAAAGTTGAATGACATCAGAAGATTTATTATCGAAGGTACCAGTTAATTTCAGTTAAATTTTGTGTATTTTAGTTCTTGAGCTGTCCTAAATGAGACTTAAGGGCAGATATCGTGTGCCTTCTTTGTTTGACTTCAGGGGCATTTTCTAATTGCTAGGTCTGATATTTTACTTGAAACAAGTGTAAATCATTTCTAATTCTTCTCAAATTTTGTATATAACTTTGTCTAGGTATTTCCCTCCGAGAAGAAACTTCATCAGGAGAATCATCATCATCATCAGAAGAAGAAGAAGAAGGAGAAGAAGAAGAACAAGAAGCAGCAGGAGGAGGAGGAGGAGAAGAAGAAGAAGCAGGAGGAGCAGCAGAAGGAGGAGGAGGAGAAGAAATATTGTAATAGACGTGGCGTTCTGCCCTTCACTATCTTCAAGCATGACTCAATTTGTCATTTCTGGGAGACTAAGGAGATTGAGGGCATTGTTAAATATTGTAATAGACGTGGTTTCCTATATGCATTTTGAATAAAATCTTCTTCTTTCTTTTTTTTTTTGCACATTTTAATTGATGAAGTTCAATAAATGAAATTTTAACATAACCTGGGGAAAATATTTGTCGAACCTTCCTTTCAAAATTTGCTTTGTCAATCAAGCATTGTCATATTTGCTGTTTTTATTTTGTTCCAAACAGAACTGACTGGATTTATGTTAGTTGAAAACAAGCACTGAACTCTAGGGAGAGAAGATTATCAACAATGTCTTTGTCAATCAAGCATCGCCATATGTTAGTTACATTCTTACTGCACTTTTCTATGATGTCATTGTTTTTCTCGCCATTTTGCTTATGCAGACATAGCCATTGAATATAGATCCGCAACTTGCAGCATATACATATGTTCTAAATTGGATGCATTTCCTCCTGTGAAGAAGTTGAATATAAAAGTGGAAAAAGACCAAGCAATTCTATTCTGAATCTGTGAACCTACGGAGAAAAGATGGGGAACTAAACACGTGCTGGTGCATTATACATGTATTAAATAGGTCGAAATAGAAATATGTGTAATATACTGAGTATGTAAAACAAATTCACTTATTGATTATACGCACTTATACTCTTAAGCGAGATATAACTATTTTGAACAATATATATTATTTGTTGTCTTGATTTCTTAATGGTCTGATTCATTATAGGTCAACATATCTAGTTCATTGATTGTTCATAAGCATCTGCCGAATCACTTCAGAGATTCTCCTAATAAAGTTTTGTGCTATTTAACACCAACCAGAATAGAATTGATGTTTGTCAATCAGATCAACCTGACAACACTGATTTTGGTCAATCATTCCTCAAAGTATGACAATTTCTTTCTCAATATTCTGCTTATATTTTTCCCCTTGTTGATTTTGAAGATCTTGCCTAATCTTTCACTCAAAATTTCTTGATACTTAAAGAATCGGATGCATCTAAATAAACCACGGAAAGGTAGAGACATGGCCTATCCAGTAGTCAATAATTCTGTGTTGACTTTACCCGATGAAGTTCAGATTCTGGCCTCATGTAATAGTCTCATTCTCATTGACTTTGAACCAGTTTTGCATTACTGTGTTTTGAATCCCATGACTAGAGAGCACCAATTGATACCGTACCCAAAGTTTCTACACCTTATGTAGAAGAAATAGGTGTAGCTGTTGATTATCCGAATTCAGATCAATACAAGTTGGTAACCATCAGTAACCTGGTTGAAAATTCCAACTTGTTCTACAATTTTCACATACTTTCATCAGAGAAATCTGGCTTGTAGCGGGAAATCCAACTGAGAACCACTACTTTCACATCTTTATGCTTCGGTAGTCCACCTGTTTATTGGTGATCTGTTAAGTGATGTATTCATATAATGAAAGATTTTAGCATCGCCAGGGGAAGATGTTTGATGAATCATCTTCTTACAAATAGAAATATGAGACTTACAGTCTTACTGTACTTTTGTAATGGTCAAGAACCACAGAATTACAGTTACTCAATCCACCTTCAGGCATACCACCGTTGTGCTTATGCAGACATCGCAATTCAATATATATCCGCAACTTTCACCTTATAACTAGATGCATATACAGATGTTGTAAATTGGCTGAATTTAAAATAAGAAAGAAAGGAAAATGAGATACACTCCTGATTTTAGGCCCATAGTTAAGTATCTTTATTTCTCAGATCATTTCCAAATTGCTTAATAATAGGCTCTCCAAGATAATGAACAAGATTATTTCCCCTAATCCGGTTCGTTTTTTCAAAGGTAGACCTAGTTCTGATAATGTCGCTTACTCAGGAACTAGTTCACAACCTGAACAGAGATTATGTGGTATTTGAATTAGATATGGCTAAGGCATTCGACAGAGTTGCTTTGGACTTTCTATGCTTAGATATGAGGCACTCTGAGCTCTCTGGATTGATATGATTGCTAGATTGATCTCTAATAATTGGTATTCCATTATTATTAATGGAGTCAGACATGGTTTCTTTAAAGATATAAGGGGTTCTTATGCAAGGTACCCCTTGTCTCCCCCTCCCTATTTGATATCGGAGCAAAGCTGTTATCTAAATAAATGGATGAATTTCCTCGGGACAACTTTATTCCTTATTCTATGGATAGAGGTAGCCCTCTTATTACACTCATCTCACTTTTGCGGATAATACTATTCTTTTCTCTTCCGGAAACCCCCTCTCTATCACTATGATGACTAATAATTAGATACATATGAACAAATATCTGGGCAAATGGTCAATAACAAGAAATCATCCTTCCTAGTTTCTTATTAGGGCAGTCTTACATTCTACGGCCTTTACATACTATTTCTGTGGTCTATCCTCCGGAGATAACTCTTAATCACAGATTAACTACTCTCCAAAATACGATTCTATTGATAACAAGCAGTAAAACTCTAATGTCAAGTTACTAGTAGGTAACTGCGAACTGAGAATCATAGGATAATTTGAACCTGAAAATTCATTTACAGTAACATTCAGCTTTCGTCCTCACCCGGTCATCATTGGGTTTCATATCCGAATTTCTTCTACAGGGAACAAATCATCGGGTTGGCTTGTTGTTCAGTTGCTGGGATCGGTGAAGAAGAAGTAAAAGTAGAATAGGAAGTTGTAATACGCTTCATTCATGAATGTAAATACTTGAATACAACCATTTTATTAGTATACATACCATTGGAATTCAAATTCCATTATTGATTCTAACTAACTCTAACAAATTAACCATCCTTTCAAGTGATTCAAATCCAATCGCTCCACACTCATCTAATTTTCTCCTATCAATTTAATCAACAAAAATTCTGTTGTTTAATTGTGTTTTAATTTAAACTCGATCTTTTTGGAACACAAGTTCCAAGAAGAAGAGAGTTTTTGCAGATGGATATTCTCGTTCACTGTAAAAGTTACGTTGGAGTTGGATTTAGAAAACAATCGTTGGTAACCAAATTGAATGAAACAACACACCCTTTCATTTAAAATACACCTTTTCGTCTAAAAGACACACCCTTTAGTTAAAGTAAGTAACGGTTGGATATAAATAGGTTAAACAAAATTCCAACGTAACAAACATAACTGAGGAGAGAAAATGGCGAATGATGATATGGAATTTAAGGTAGATGTCCTTGGGGAAATCTTCTCCCGCTTGCCCTTGAAATGTGTTGTTCAATGTAAACTTCTATCCCAGAATATTAAGGGTATGATTTGTCATTCTGACTTTGCCCAAACTTTGTTTCAACGTCATAAAGACACTTCTACCCAACTCATCTATACAGTATATGATGGAGCAGCACGAAAAAGATTCGACAAAATCTCCTTAAACCCAATCACTCAATCTGTGTCGACTTTACCCGATGAAATTGAGATTTTGGCCTCATGTAATGGTCTCATTCTCATTGACTTTGAAGGAGTTAGGCGTTACTGTGTTTTCAATCCCATGACTGAAGAGCACCAATTGATACCATACCCAAACTCTTCTACAAATGATTTAGAAAAAATAGGTCTAGCGGTTGATTACCCCAAGTCAGATCAATACAAATTGGTAACCGTCAGTAGCCTGGTTGAAAATTCCAACTTGTTATACAAATTTCACCTACTTTCATCAGAGCAACCTGGCTTGTGGCGAGAAATCCAACTGACAACCAATACTGTCCAATCTTTACCTGTTGGTAGTCGAGCTGTTTATTGGCGCGATTCTCTGTATTGCCTCAGAAAGGACGGTAGTGTTCTAGCTTTTGATACGAAAAGAGAAGAGGCTATACTAATTGACCGTCCTGAGTTTCTTGATCAGTTTGATCTCAGCTATGGTAAAATTTTGAGTGGTCAGAGTATATGGCTAGGGAAGGCGCAAGGTTTACTTACCCTTGTATGCATTTTCAGAATGCACATAGTCATTGCTATTTATGGGAGTGCAAGCAGACGTTGGAGGGTTTCCCACAATTTGGGCAACTTTATTTTAGGTCCAGAAGGCACTATTAATGGCTTTCCAGTATGGATCGACAACAAGCAAGTGTCTTTTCTGGTACAACGTCCCCTGACACTGTTTTATGATCTATACGAGTATAATACTAATATCAATGTGTACGAACATGCTGCAGTGTTGCACGGAGTTAAATTTCCAATGTATTGCTTCCATCCAACGTTAGCTGGTGCCCATTACACACCCTCCAATAATATAGAGGCTGATGATCAGGCGCATATTGCTGCAAATTTGGACGACATCAGAAGATTTATCATCGAAGGTACCAGTTTGTTTCCGCTGAATTTTGTATTTTAGTTCTTGTGATGTCCTAAATGAGACTTAAGGTCAGGATTAGCTATTCCTTTCAAATTTATATTTAAAAGTTAAAACATGCAACTGAGCCAATGAACATTTTCATAGAGACATTGCGATTTGCGCGCCTTCTTTGTTTGACTTTGGTGGCATTCTCTAATTTGTAGGTCTGATTTTTTACTTGAAACAAGTGTAAATCATTTCTAATTCTTCTCAAACTTTGTATATAACTTTGTCCAGGTATTCCCTTCCAAGAAGAAAGTTCATCTGGAGAATCATCATCATCAGAAGAAGAACAAGAAGCAGCAGGAGGAGGAGGAGATGCAGCGGCAGGAGAAGAAGAAATATTGTAATAAACGTGGTTTTCTGCCCTTCACTATCTTCAAACATGACTTCAATTTGTTATTTCTGGCATAGTTAAATATTGTAATAGACTTCGTTTCCTATATGCATTTTGAATAAGAAAACTACTTCTTTCTTTATTTGCACATTTCAGGTGATGAATTCCATTAAATAAAATAATTTAGCATAGCCAGGGGAAGATGTATGGCAATTATACCATTCAAAATTTGCTTTGTCAGTCAAGCATCGTCATATGTGCTGTTATTATTTTGTTCCAAAGTTTTAGAACAGAACTGACTTGTTACATTAACAGTTAATCAACCTTCAAGCATACTTAGCTTTATATAATTCCATCTTACATGAAAGAGTAAAGCAGACCAAGCAAAAAAATTCCAAAGTCCGAACTGAAAGTGTCTGATAGGAACATTTTATCAATTGGAACAAGCCTTAGTTTTTTGAGAAGCTTATTATCTCAATATTAAGTTGCATCTGTGAGTGAACGGACAAAGTATTGAAGTGTTGGTAATTTGATGATCCAAAACAGTGAGCACCTGGTAGTAAAAGCTACAACTTTGACACGTCTACTTGACAAATGTATAAGCCATGAGAATTTGATCAAGCAAATTCATGCTCAATCCATCACATGTGGTATCTTCACCCAATTTCATCAATCTTTTGCCTGCAAACTGCTTAACATATATGCCAAACTGAACAAACCATTTGCTGCCTACAAGGTGTTCGATCAAATTCCCCAACCAGATATTGTCTCCTGGAGTTGTCTTTTGTCTCTGCATTTGCAATTACAACAACCCACTAAAGCGTTTTATCTGTTCACCCGCTTACTGGTTTCAACTTCTCTAAAACCTGATTCCCATTCCATAGTTGCAGCTCTCTCAGCTTGTGCTCGCACACAAGACCTGTGTAATGGCAAAACGGTGCACGCTATGGTCTATAAATTTCTTAATCGACCTGAACCTATTGTGGGTAATGCTCTGATCGATATGTATAGCCGCACGGAGAGAATCTTGTTGGCTCGACGTGTATTCGATAGTATGTATGTTAAGGATGTAGCTACTTGGACTAGTTTGCTCAATGGGTTTGTAGTTTCTTGGGAAATCGAGTCTGCTTGGAAGTTCTTTGAGGAAATGTCCCACAGGAATGCTATTTCATGGACTGTGATGATTGTGGGATGTGTACGTGGCAAAGAACCGATTGGGGCATTGGAACTGTTTAAGAGAATGAGGGAGGAAGGTGATGACAGCCCGACCTCAATCACAATAGTTGCTGTGCTATCTGGTTGTGCTGATAGTGGAGCTCTGGATTTTGGGAGGTCTATTCATGGATATGTAAACAAGGTAGCTGGTTTTGATATGGATGTTGGTGTAAATAATGCCCTGATTGATATGTACGCTAAAAGTGGGAATCTTGATTTTGCTATGATGATTTTTAGGGGAATGATAAAGAAGGATGCTTTCTCGTGGACTAGTATGATTTTAGGTTTGGCACTTCACAGTAGAGGAAGAAATGCCCTCGAGTTTTTTGATGAGATGTTGGAATCTGGGGTTACTGCAAATGAGATTACTTACCTCTCAGTTCTATCTGCTTGTAGCCATGCTGGGTTAGTTAACGAGGGGAAGGAATTATTCAACAGGCTGAAGAATGACACTAGTTGTGCAACTAAGATAGCACATTATGGATGTCTGGTGGATCTCCTTGGTCGTGCTGGTCATTTGGATGAAGCAGTGCGGTTAATTCAACAAATGCCTATGAAACCAGATGCTGTCATATGGAGATCACTTCTGAGTGCTTCTGTTATGAATAGAAATTTGGAATTAGCTGAAATGGCTGCCGGGAAAGCACTTGAACTGGAACCTCACGATGATGGGGTGTATGTACTACTATGGAATTTGTATAACTCTGGTAATATGTTGGAACATGCTTCCAGGACCGTGAAGATGATGAGAGATCAAAGAATCAAGAAAAAGCCTGGTTGTAGTTGGATCGAAATTAATGGAATTCTTCATGAATTTATGGCCGAACCTTCCAGACAACATGTCTATGATTGTATTTACAGGGTATTAGATACAATTCTAAAGCAATCAAAACTTTTTACTAATCCTGCAGAATTGTAGCCTTTTGGTAGCAATACAATTTTCTGCACCGGATTCTGGTTTGATTATGACAAAGGACAAAAAGCTTCAAGAAAAGATTCCGGTACGAGTTCTTTTAACTATGGGAGGCACTGTTTAATTTGTGGTAGATAAACACAATGCAGGAAGTGTTCCTCGGTTAATTATCTTTGG